GACCGCGGGGCGGACCCCTGGGTGGGGGGCCCGCCTCCTGCCGCCTTGCTTGGCGCGGGTCCCGGGGGTGGCGGGGGCTGCAGCCGGGCCCCGGGTGGGGCCGGCGCAGGGCCTACTCCGCCCGCCGGCGCCCTCCATTTTTTTTTTAAAGAAGTAATCCACAAGAACATTTTTTAAAGTAAGAAGAAAAATAAACCATTTTTTCCCTCAGAAAAACAACATTATTTGTGACATTTACCCTTAAATTAGTACATCAGTAACTACTTTTAGTAGTAAACTAGTACATATTTTTAAATAAATAAAATTACTTTTATGTTTAAACATATGCTTTACTCCAAGAAATTGTTAAGTGAAATTTTATCGTTTTTTTTTTTTTTTTTTTTCTTTTAAGAGATTTTTGCTACAGGGCACGTGTGTTCACCCAAGAGACAGAGAGACAGAAAGTGAGAAATCATCCCCCTAGGGGGATGGCCATGCCGCAGTCCTTTCTCCATTCTCCTCTCAGGATCTTGGGTATGCACACATATGCACACACACGTGCCTGACGTGAGTTTTAAGCTGTTGGGTCCGGGACTCAAACTGCAGTCGACTGCGTGGGAGTCCAGTGACATAGCCATTATACCACCTGCTGGCCCCCACGTTTCACCGTTCCGATGGGAGGTGTGTGGTGAGCTTTAACGAGAACTGTGCAGACCAGGCCCGGCTGACGATGGTTCTCCTTTGAACAGCGTGATCGCCTACTCGGTCATCGTGGGAGCGCTGATGGCAAGTGGCAAAGAAGTGGCAGGAAAAATCCCCAAAGGGAAGGTAGGCCGCAGCTGGGGGCAGTGCGTGCTGCGTCAGCCAGGCTGGCACTCTGTAAGGAGCAGGAGTGAAACAGACCGCGTACGGCACCGTGCTCCTCCACGTCTGATCGCGTTCTTCCAATTTCTGTCCTTTCCAGTTAGTTGACTTTGAAGCTATGACAGCCCCTGGTTCAGAGGCCTTCAGCAAAATAGCCAAAAGCTGGATGAACTTGAAAAGGTAACTCCCTGCGCGGGGTCCACCACGGCTGGGAGCGGGTAGAGGGTGGCCTGTAACTCCCTGCGCGGGGTCCACCACGGCTGGGAGCGGGTAGAGGGTGGGCTGGTCCGTTTAGGTTTTTGCAAAAGTTT